AGCCTGGGAGGCGGAAGTTGTGGTGAGCTGAGATCGCACCACTGCACTCCAGTTGGGGGCGACAGAGTGAGACGCTGTCTCAAGGAAAAAAAAAAAATCCTGTTTTTAAAAACACTTCAATCACTAAGAAATAAAGAAAAATATTATTGCTTATAGTTCGTAGCCATCTCTTATACCTTCCTGATCGAAGGTAGAGGTAGCATAAATTAATGAAAGCAATACCCCATTCCTTAGTTTGTTCATTAGTTCCAGCTTCTCTTCACTAAATCCATTATTGAGCAACCAATGAAATCATTCAGTTTATGTTTTACCATTTGTTAAAATTAGTCTAGGTTGGTTTCCAACTAGAAAGGTACCTGGGTGTCTTTCCCATCTTGATTTTCTGCCTCAAACTTCCAAAAGAAAAGAAAGGTTTCTATACACATTGTATTCATGGAACGAATGTTTCCCCACCTACATCCCAGGCCTCTGTTTAGAATTCAAGAACTGCGTTACCACTGTGTTGGAGAAGATCATAGGACTGTGTAGAGGTTTGTTTCTAGGGATAAAGCTACATCCCTTTGGGTGTATTCTTAGGTCAGCTAATTTATATCCTTGCCTTCAATCTTATTGCCTTAGGGTTGACACTACCGTAAAAGTCAGGAAAGAAATCCTGGCTTAGAACTAGGAGTTCTATTCTACATTCAATGTTCAAAAACTCTTCTGTTGGTGGTTGACTCACCAACATCCATTCAACCCCAGAAAATAGTCTAAATCAATTTTAGTAATTCTATTTCTCTCCCACATTGGAATGATGAAGAATATTCCTGGGCTGCCAGTGGCAGAATTGTGCTACTGAATCCACCAAGCCTGAAGCCTGCTCTGCCTCTTGGAGTTTGATTTGGTGAAATAATGAACTTGTTTATTGTCTAAGCCAGTTTGAATCAGTTTTTGTTACATACAGCAGAAAGTATCCTAACTCATGCAGCTCCTCTAGGAAAGAAGTCCACTGTCATGATTCAAATTTACTAAGAAGGACATCAGAGTTCTGGTTCAGGGAGCATCTTCATCTCAATTCTCTGAGACCATGCCCTCTGAGCCTCAGATGAACCAGTTTGTAACTTTTTGAAGTACACTCTACCTTTACTATGGCCCCTGGGGTTTCTAAAAGCTATTACTAGTTTTACTTGTTATTCATGCTTTGGAACCCATTGAGTTTCTCCAGGGGTTCAAAGGTCCAGTGTGTTCCACTGTGGCATTTTCTTTAAAAAGTCATGTCTAGGCCAGGCGCGGTGGCTCACGCCTGTAATCCTAGCACTTTGGGAGGCCAAGGAAGGCAAATTACAAGATCAGGAGTTTGAGAACAGCCTGGCCAACATAGTGAAACCCCATCTCTACTAAAAATACAAAAATTAGCCAGGAGTGGTGGCACGTGCCTGCAGTCCAAGCTACTTTGGGAGGCTGAGGCAGGAGAATTGCTTGAACCTGGGAGATGGAGGTTGTAGTGAGCCAAGACTGCGCCGTTACACTCCAGCCTGGGTAACAGAGCGAGACTCTGTCTCAAAAAAAAAAAAGTGATGTTAGCAGCTTCAGTGCCCGCAGATGGATGACGTACTGGATTATCATACCTTTTCTAACCTAAGTCTGCAGACTTGCATATTATTTATAGTTGACTCTCTGTCCCCATAAACAAATGGAAATGAGATATGCACTCACTTCTGAGATTGTCACACCTAGTTTGATAAGCAGACCTAAGGTATTTGCATTTATTTATTTATTTATTTATTTATTTATTTATTTATTTTTGAGAGACCCATCTGGGCTTCCCAAAGTGCTGGGGTTACAGGCATGAGCTACCGTGCACAGCCAGGTATTTGAATTTAAGCAAGGCATCTAACAAGGACTCTTACGCCAACTCAAGACTTCTCAAGGCCTCTCATGGACAAGTTGGAGGAATGTGAACTGGCTACACAGGCAAATTTATTTATGTTTAAAACTGCATGCCTTCAGAATATTGATTCATGGATCAAGGTCAATTTAGAAAAAGTTCTCCAAAGCCTGCTCTGAAGCACGGTCATCAGATATGTTCTATTCAATGTTTTTATCAATGAATAAGATGAAAATATAGAAAGCATGCTCTTTGTATCATTTCCCTATGATTTGAAATGGAAGAAAGTGACAATATGATGGTTCACTTAAGCAAAGTCTGAAAATAATTTAACAAGCTGGATCAATGGGCCAACTGTACAAGGAGCTGTTTTCATAAATGATATAAAAATATGGTGAAGATTATGTAAAAAAATTTTTTTTAACTAGGGATATATAAATAGAAAAATTGGTATCCATATTCCTGTATCTGATGGACTATCATATGAAATGAGAGAGACATTGTCTATGTCTCAATAAAGTATGTCTAAGATAATTTTTTTTGGCTCAGTAATGAAGGGATTCTTTAACATTTGAAGACAAAGGAAAAGAAAATAATTACCTGAAAAAAGAAAAAAGAAAAGAATTACC